TTTGAATAATCTATGAAGCATAAATACAGATCTTTCCGTGCTTCAATACATCTTTCCATTAACATTTGTAAAGTGAATATAGCATTTCTGGTGCCCTTGTCAGGAACAAAGCCGAATTGTGTTTTAGATATCTCTGGTCTTACACTTTTTCTCAATCTTCCCATTATTACTCGCAACAATAGTTTTGTACAATGACTCATAAGGCTAATTGTTCTATGCATGTCACGCTCAGTGGCACCTGGTGTTTTAGGTAAAGCTACAAAAACTGACTTCATCATATCTTCTGGGATCTCACCGCTGTCATAAATAGCATTTAGGAGCTTTGTTGTTATTTCAGTGCCTAGTTCTTCAAGCGCGACAATCACTTCAACTGGAATATTATCTGGCCCTGTGGCTTTTCCTTGTTTCATTTTCCTACTGGCAGCTTGTACTTCTGCTTTCAGTATTGGTGGTCCGTTTATTTAATTCTTTATTATTCTGTTTTTCTCCTCTATTATCTTTCAAAAGTTCTTCTATGTATTCTGACCATCTGTTTAAGACATCACCGTTGTCCATTAAGACATCCCCTCCCTTTGATCTTATGCCTCCTGTATTTGAGCACCCTTTTCTCCCACTTACTTCTTTGGTTTTGGAATGCACGTATTTGTTGTCTTTGTTTTGGTTCTTCTCTATTTGTTGACACTGATCGTTTATCCATGTTTCTTTTGCTTCGGTTCATTTGTTCTGTATTTCCCTGTTTAAGATGTTGTACTTTTCCACATTTGATTTTGCTTTTCTTCTCTCCTCCATTAGTTTTAATATGTCCTGGGTCATCCATTTTTTGTTTGCTCTTTTAGCTTTCAGGGGAATATTTTCTTCCACAGCTTCCATTATTGAGTCTTTCATTTTCCTCCATAGTTCTTCCGATTCAGTAATGTTTTCAAAAGCTTGAAATGTATTGCTTACATCTATGGAGAAACGTTCTTTCATTTCTTGGTTTGTCTTGAAAAGATCTATGTCAAATATTGGTTGGTACTTTGACAGTTTAAGTTTCTTCTGTCTTATCCACATTTTACACATGACTGGTACATGGTCACTATCACAGTCTGCTCCTGGCATTGATTTAGATGATTTTATTGTATTTCTAAATTGTTTCTCAATAAGTACGAAGTCTATTTGATTTCTGCTTCTATCGCCAGGACTCTTCCAAGTGTATCGTCTTCTTGGGTGATTCTCATACCAGGTGTTTGATATCATAAACTTATTTTCTCTGCACCATCCTATCAATTGTTCCCCTCGTTCATTCTTTTTTGGTATAGGGCCTATATGTTTGTTTTGGGCAGTGTCAGTTTTTTGTTTATGTATATTACTTTTGTACAGGGTAAATGTTTTCTGTGTTGTTGCTTTTAGTACGAGATAAGTGGTTTTTTTACTGGTATATACATTGCTTTTGTACAGGGTAAGCGGGTTCTTTTTTGCATGTATATTACTTTTGTACAGGGTAAGTGTTTCCTATGGTGTGATTTTGGTGAAGAGTAAATGTTTTCTGTAGCCTTTTGTACACAGTAAGTTTTTTTGAAACGGTTGAAACAGTACAACGGTGTTTGTTGCTTGGTCTGTTGTACAAAGTAATTGTTTCCTGTGGTGCGGCTTTGGTTCTACAACTATGTTGATGAAAAGAAATAACAAAAGTACTAACTAGAGTCTGTGGTGTAGTGATGAGACACTTTGCCAGCGAGCTCACACGACCCGCGGACAACCCTGTGTGGGTAGAATATTGGTGGAGTATAGCGGGCTGTATCCTGGGACGCTGTATCCTGGGACATTGTATCCTGGGACGCTGTATCCTGGGACATTATATCCTTCTCAGCACAGGATGATCTCAGCAGACAGGGTAGAAGGTTGTCGCCTGTATGACCTAAAGTGTGTCGATGTGTGTGTAAAACATACACATTTTAAAACAGCCAAACAAATGAACAAACTAAATGGCAAAAAAGGAAATAATAATAATGAAGAAGAAAACAACAACAACAACAACTCACCTCCTGAACGATCTGTCCCCAGCGTCGACCTGTCGCGGCTAACTCCGTGGTCAAGATGGGCTCCAACTACTTCGAAGAACGCCAGCTCATCTACAAGGCTTACGTGCAGGTGGGCCCGCGACACTGATACACACTACAGCAACAGTGATACACACTACAGTGATACACACTACATCAACAGTGATACACACTACAGTGATACACACTACATCACATACACACTACAGTGATACACACTTCATCAACAGTGATACACACTACAGTGATACACACTACATCACATACACACTACAGTGATACACACTTCATCAA